CTCCTCCTGCAGCCCAACTCTAGTGCGAAGGAGTTTAAACTTTAAATCCCTTCTCTCTTCGCTTCCCCACCCCACCCCGCCTTGGCAGGCCAGCTGGGGAAGTAAGAAAGGGGGGAGACATCTTCAAAGGCCTCCTCTTCCCTTCCCCAGCCCACTTGCCAAGGTGGGCTGGGAGCGGGGAAGGGAAGGCGTTTAAACTTTAAACCCCTTCTCTCTGAAGTTGTGCCGCAGTGGCAGCTCTATCTTTCCATTGTATTCTATGGCCCCATAGAAAATAATGGAAGCAGCGGCGCCACTCCAGAGAGAGGGGGTTTAAAGTTTAAACCCCTTCTCTCTTCGCTTCCCCCACACACACCTTGGCAGACCGGCTGGGGAAGGGAAGAGGAGGCCTTTGAAGATGCCTCCCCCCCTTTTGCTTCCCCTTCTGACATCACTTCCGGTGATGTCGGGGGGCATGGCATATGCTAATGAGCTATTATGCTAATAGCCTATTAGATATTCTAATGAGCTCCTGCAGCTCTTTTTCTACGAAATGACCCCTGCATGTATATATGCTACATACAGGAGTTATATATGCTACATTTAGAGCTGCAGAGTCACAGGGAGTATTTGGGGAAGTGGCATCAATTCAGATATTGTTAAACCACAAAAGAGATCAACCACTCCCACAAGGTACTGTAGTAAGCAAACTGCAATCCTCTGTCTGATCACAGTGCATTTCATGTCAGTTTACTCAGATCTTCATGCAATGTGTATTTTAGTATCGTGGAGTTTTTTTTCATTTAAACACTAGTTGGCATTCAAACGACTGTAATCTCTAATGCTACCTAACCCAGTCTACTTTGGCCAGCCTGACCTTCAGTTCTTCTGCCAGCACAAAACCTTTTTAAATGAATGGAGTTTGCTTGGGCCAGCCTTATCACTAGGCAAATACTAGCAGGCGGCTAGATTAGGGGTATGATTGCTTTAATGGACGGAATTGATCTTCTCCCAGCACAGCTTTGGTTGTCCTGCTTCTGCTGGCCAGCTGTGGTAGGGGAAGGAACTTAAATAGGAATGCAAACAAGGGATGGGAAAATGGATCCCAAAAGTAACAGAGGAATTGGCAAAGAATAGACAGATGTAAAATGCAGGGGGATGAACAGTAAGAACCAACTGGGTCCAAGAGGCCTGTGTTCATTGACAGCCAGGGATCTAAGGAGTTCAGAAGAAGCAGAGATTTATATCAGAGAAACTGGCATGCTGCTTGAATCAATGTTGTACTAGGAGTAGGCTAGAAAAAAGGTAGGGCCTAAATATGCCATCCTGATGAGGTACTAGTCCAGTGATGGCGAACCTTTTAGAGACCGAGTGCCCAAACTGCGACCCAAAACCCTCATATTTATCGCAAGGTGCCAACACGGCAATTTAACCTGAATACTGAGGCTTTACTTTAGAAAAAACAACTCATACATTAACTTAAGATGATCCAAACAAAGTAAGGAAAGCAATCCCAAATGCTTTCATTTACTTAAAATTATTTGGCGGAGAATTTGACACTTTAATGATGGTCTGGGTCTGGCTGGTGTTAGCCGAATTGCTCCAAAAAGGAAACAATTGGTACAGTTTTTAACTTCAGGAACAACCGTCTTTGTTTACGGAGGATGGCACTGATTCTGAGGTCCCCAATAAGAGACTGAGGCAGACTTCTTAATAATAATAATTGTTTACTAGCACACTTCACACAGTAAGCACACAACAACCACAACACACAAGAACTAGGAAATACAGAGAGAATAATTAAGCACAGTTGCAATTTGCAGGTAACGTTGGTTGATGCTTTGGGGTATAATTACCTGGCTGCTTCTGCGTGGCTCCAAACTTCAAGCGAAGGGGTAAGGATGGGGAGAAAATGGAAAAGAATAGCGAATGGACTCAGACCAGCTAAGACCACGTGCTAAGAAGTTCTAGCTGTGCACTGCTAGAACAAAGAGAGGGATGGGAAGGATTTGGGATAGAAAGCTGGATTGAAGGGTAAAGCAGGTTAAATAGAGGGCGTAGTTTGAGAGCGCTGGGGGGTTTCAGGTAGAATGCTCAAGAGCGCGAACTGGAGGTGCGTTCCTGATTAGATCAAACAGGGTCAGGGGCGGAGCTGGGGCCAGGAAGACCTCCCCTGTGACGAGGCGTTTTGTCATAGCCAAGAGGTCTGGAATTGGCTATTGTAATTCTCTGGGAGGGCTTGGAAACTGGAGGGCAATTTGAGATCTAGTGACTAACTCAATCAAGACACCTGGGCTAGGGGTATTCGTATGTAGATGGCTGACTCATGTCCATGCAGCCAGGTTGAATAGGGTCTTTGTGAGTACGTGCTGTCCGTTGGTGCGAGGGGGAGGGGGCCCCCAGGAGGTAAGTTACCATGCGGTGGTTCTGAAATGGCGTTTGCTGCTTTCTGTGACATGTGCTTGGAACGAAATGGAGTCTGCTGCTTTCTGTGGCCATGTGCTTAGAACAAAATGGCGTTCGCTGGGCATGGGAACACCTCAGGAATAGCAACCATAAGAGGAAACAGTGTCTCTGGTATGTATCCAATTGGGAGTTCACAGCATGTCAGTTTCTGGCACAGTCTGTCATTGGCACACTTTATCAGGTACAGCGATGGCACACTTCATCAGGTACAGTAACTCAGTTCATAAAAACACCATGGCAGGCGTGCAGGCTTACACTGGGGCAATGGCACACATGCCCACAGAGAGGGCTCTAAATGCCACCTCTGGCACCTGTGCCATAGGTTCCCCACCACTGTACTAGACGGTGCCTGGCAATTGTATACTCACCCTGTGTCAACACTAATGTTTTGTTTCTTTTCACTGAACTTCTTAGGCATGATGTTTCAGCATACCCAAGTAGGCAAAGTTTACAAGGGCAATTCCTCCACCCCTACCCAGATCAGATCAGATCCAGGATGATTAATGTTCAAATATTTATGAACTACATTTGTAACATTTTTTAAAAACGGGTAGGCGCTTCAATATCTGCACTGGACTGAAATGGGAAAAAATGCATTGACGTATAATGTATTAAATATATATATATGAGCAATTTCCTATTTCGGTGTCTTTTATGGAAGTAATGGCATGGCATTTGAGCAATACATTTTCCATCCTTTTTTCTCTCCATGGGAAATGGAGTGGAAATAGCCCTTTTGACATATATGCACACTCTGCAGAGATGCTCTATTCATGGAACTGGTGAAAGAGGCCTCTCTTATTTCAAGCAGTAAATCAAGTGGCATCTCTCTGACAAAGGGGCAAGATATTTTTTCAGATATCATTGGAGACAATAAAAGGCTGCTTTTCTGAGCCTGAAACTGAGGCAAGCAGCAGACAATGGAAATTACTACAGAGGCATTCATGGAGGGATTCAGCTAAATGATCTCCAGGGAAAAGAGGTTTGGGGGCAGGGGGCTGAACTGTGTTTGCCTTCTATCTGCTGAGGCTGGTACAGAAAGAAAACAGCCTTCTTGATAGAGAAAGGAGTATTTGAACGAAAAGCCACAACGATACACAAAACCATGTGTTTGTTACAAAATGAAAGCTCATCTAGATTTTTTCCCTTTAACTTGGCTCATGTGTCTTCAAATCTCAGTCTGAATAGCTCCAGTAATGGTACATCTTTAATACATGGGATCGCCTAACAAGCAGATGGCAAGTACCATCCAGGAATAATTTGTGTTGCTGGATTAAGGACTCTGTAATTAAAAACGAAACATGAATTTTTTTAAAAAAATCTCAGTCTTCCAAAAGAGTGTATGCATAAAGACTTTGTTATAAGGTACAAAGGACCAGAGTACGTTCTCTTTTGTAGCAAAGAACTAGAGGATACGCGGCCACGTTAACTCATTTTGTAAATATGGAAATCTGTAATTAAAAACAAAACATGAAATTTTTTTTAAAAATCTCAGTCTTCCAAAAGAGTGTGTGCATAAAGACTTCATTATAAGGTACAAAGGACCAGTGTGTTCTCTTTTGTAGCAAAGAACTAGAGGATACGCGGCCATATTAGTGAGGTGTAGATCCTGCATCTGGTTCCCAGCATAGTAGGTTCCTCTATGGCTCCAGCAATGTCTAATATTCACCTCTGCGACAGAGGCATTACTGGAGTACGAACTGCTACAAAAAACCCAAAAAAAGCATCCCCTTTGCATCTGTAGGGAGCCTCCATTCAGAAATAGCTGCCTTCATCATAGGAGGATGTTTGGCTTACAGCTTCCTATAATTTTTGGGTGATTTCCCACAAGCGCTGCTCCACGCTCACTCTTCTCTTTGGCCCGATGGTACATGTCTATTTCACACAAGCTGCTGCGCGGCTGCATTTTGCCCCGCAGCTTTGTGCGATTTTCCCCGCGTCTACTCAATCCTGTTTTTTGAGGACTGAGTAGACGCGGGGAAAATTGCACAAAGCTGCGGAGCAAAATGTGGACACGCAGCAGCTTGTGTAAAATTGACACCTACCATCGGGGCAAAAGGGAGGAGTGAGCACGGAGCAGCACTTGTGGGAAATCACCCTTTGTGACTGCCACGGGGTGCCAGGGGCAGTCTTTTTGGGGTGGTAGCCATTGTCCATCCTTAACATTCCAAAGGTGCCCAACAAGACTGGAAACCCTGTTCTACAGACTTTTTGGAACATGTTGGCTGGGTATATCGGGCAGCCAATCTTTGCTATATAACAACTCAAAAATCTCTCCAGGTCAGTATCAACCTGTGTTTTATCTGCCAGCCTACATGGCCTTGCAGAGCAAAACAAGATGAGGAGCGCCACTGTGGCCCTCGTCCTCCCTCTCCTGTTGCTTGGTGTTGCTTCAAGGGGAACTATATTTATGACTGTTTCAACTGCACCATCCAGACTGTCAGAGGAGACCTTCATGTAAATTAGGGCCATCTTCATGCCGGTTTATCTTCCTACTTAATTCTACAACTGCACGTATTTCTATTACTGACAATGACCCCATTTGCTATCCCCAGGTGCTTTCATTCCACGGTGCAATGAGGAAGGCTATTACAAAGCAACTCAGTGTCATGGCAGTACTGGGCAATGCTGGTGTGTCGATAAGTATGGAAATGAGATAGCCGGCTCAAGGAAGCAAGGAACTGTTAGCTGTGGTGAGTAATGGCATGCCTCCCTCAGATAAAATGGGATTTAATGTGGTGTGAGCCCTTGCACACCCCTGTGAGATTGACTAGGAGAGCACAGAATGACAACCAGGAGAAACATATTACTTGGCATGACAAGTATCTTCTTTGTATTTATAATGCAAATGCGCTCATGGCAAGTAACCTTTCTTCTTCAGCATGCCTAGCAAAATGAAACTGGTAAAAGTATCTGATGCATTTTTTCCTGCCAGTTTAAAATCGCTATATTTTATACTCATAAATTATGCTGGGAGGGGTGTTGTTACTGTACATTGATCATTTAGTGATTTGGGTTTAAAATGAACACTATACTCAGTTAAGTGGTGATATCAACCAGAGCTGATTTAGGAACAAAAATGTATCTGTATACTGGAATGCTGTTATGTCATAGCTGCTTACTCTGGCATACACACACTCAAGCAGCCACCATAACTGCATGCGCTAGGTGGAAATTTCTAAAGCTTCATATACAAACCAACTCTCAGAGTGGAGAAAATGTGGTTACAGTGAGATATGCTTGCCTCAGACGACATGTGCTGTAGAATTTGTTACAAACCAAGCCCGACTTATAAAAGATTCAATAACTCCTGTTTTGTTCTTATGAATGAAAGTTACAGGCTTGGAATATCCTCTTTGAAATTGATCACTGTGCATGCATTTTGTTTTTTGGGGGAGGGGGACTTAGACAAAAGTCCCTGATCTGGGTAGTCCAGGCTAGCCTGATTTCAGCTGATCCTGGAAGCTAAACAGGGTCGGTCCTGGTTAGTACTTGGATTGGAGAACACCAAGGAAGTTCTGGGTGGCTGGGCAGAGGCAAGCAAAATCTTGTTTGTCACTAATGTGCTACTAGACTCAAATCTAGGTAATTTGTATTTATAATCCCTCCTAAACTGTGTTTTGATGAACCTCAGGATTCACCAGAATGCAGTTTGAAAACCCCTACTCTAGTTAATGGATATAATATTAGAATGGTGCTCTAACGGCCCCATTTTCTTCCCTCCCTCAGAGGCAGGATTTCCCCTCCGTTTTTCTTCCCCTTTAATGACTGAGCCACCCTAGTAATGTTTTTCTTTTGTGTTTTTCTTCAACTCTGGCTGTCCCACCCTGTCACAGTACAATATTTTGGCTGTTGGCTCAGCCCAGGCACCTGAGGGAAGGATCAGGAGCCCAATTTAATTTAAGCAACTTAAGTGGCACTCAAAGTGGTTTGAAATTCAAAAATAACAAAAATATTTTGTTTAACATAGAGGGGAAAGGTCAGGTGAAATCAGGGGCTGAAAATTTCTGAGGTAAAACCAGTACATGCACAGGCTTTAGTTCTTATGTTTCAGGCTAATGAGAGTTTCTTAAGCTATTCACAGTTACTTAAATCTTTATGTTGAGAGGCTTTTGTTCCTGTGTTTTCCCCAAACATTTCAGTATACTTTCTTTATTTTCTAACTCTTTTGGTTTCCGGAAGGCTGGTACACTCTTTCCAGTACCCAAAACCCCTTCCCTCGAAACACCAGTTCTCGTCTTGAGTTTTTAACTGACTCTTAGGCTGCGGTCACACGCACCAGTTGGAGTGGAGGGGAAGTGAGGCTATCTCCTCGGAAGGAATTTGATGCACAGTTGTGATATCACACAGCTCTTTCAAGCTGTGGGCTCAGCCTGTCACTGTGTGATCAGACGCAACCGCAGATGAGTCGGGGGGGGGGGGGGTTGGCCATTTGTTTCCCATGAGCTTCAATGAGGAATTGCACTTCTGCACTGAGGCCTCCCTATGGAGTATGCAATGATGCACACACTGCGAGGGGGGGGGAATGGCACCAAGCTGGGATGGCATGATCAGACCATCCCGATGGCATGAGAGCGTGCTTGCGCGATCAGACAGGGGAAGGTCCATCTGTGGCCCATCGGAACCCATTAGAGCCGGACTTTCCCCAGTGCCTTTTAACTCTGCTTCTCTGGTGGAGCGGCATGGATTGCAGATGACTGTGGAATGCTTCCCAGATGTTGCTGTCTGATTGCACCCTTTAGATCCGTCAGGCATTCGCAGCTATGTCAGATCTAAAGGCGCGTGTGATCACAGCCTTAAGGTCTCTAAAGGCAGTTTCTAACCACACCAGCTCAGGGATCTCTGCACTCTTCAGAGCGAACTCCCTGTTTGACTAGTTAGGGAATTTTCTTCTCACTCTAGAAGATCTTTACCCTTTCCTTGGCCCGAATGGGAGTCTTCACCTTCTTCCCAAACTTCCTTGCCAACTTTTCCCCAGTTCTCCTGTCTGTGCTAAACTGCTCCCAGTCAGGGCTGAATTATGAAACTGTAAGTACTCAACTCTTCTCAGCTAGGGCTGAAATCCGACTGATTCTCTCCTCAGCATGCAGCTCTCTCCAGACTTCCTCTGCTCAGCTGCTGCTAACCAATCAGATTGCTTGGAGCAGCCTGTCAAGGCTCTTTGGCTCTGTGAAGAATTAACCCTTCACAGTCCTTTATCTGTTTACACAGCACTTCTATGCTTTTAAAAGTGCAGTCCATCACAGATGCTCATTTCAATAGCCTTGTTTTGGCATACCAATTGCAATGAACATTTGCCAGCTATTTCACTTATAACTCCTCCTTATGGACATAAAGAGCCCCTGGCTACTCAACAACAATCTGAACAGCCAAATTATGCAAAGATACATGCATACAATTTCTCTATATCTTTTTGTGATAGTTTTATGTATGTTCATTTATTATATGTGTGTTTCGGGGGAGAGGTTGTTAAAATTCTATTATATACAAAAATATTTAAATGAACAACATTGCTAGATTTGTCATTGCTAAAGTTATCTTGTTACAGCCATGTAATGCCTCATCAGCTTTTGATTATATATGCCAGCTGCGTTTTTAAAAGCTAAAAATTAGTGCGGTTCCAGCATTTAATAAGTAATATTTTTGCTGCTGCCTATAAATAAAAGACTACTGTTTATATATGTCTTTATAAAAGACATATTTATGAATTTGATCCAAAGTACCATGAGTGAAGCAAAACTCAAAGAATGGGAGTTTCCCACCACCTTCCTCCAGCTGGGCCCCTGAAATCTTATTTCTTGAGGTCAGGGGACCCTCACAAATCGCACAGGAGGGAATGGAGGCTTTGCACTGGAAGGAAGGAAGTGTCCAAAACTGTAACCTGCATTCAGTATAAGAACCACTCTACTTGCATGAAGTGCCGATATGCCAGTAGAAGATCCCCATTGGATTCAACTTGATCTAACACCCATAGAAGTGTTACTTCTGAATCAAATGAAAGCATGGTGATTAATAGTTTCTTAATCATTCTAAATATTTTTTGCCAAAAAGAAATAAAGCCTTTCCTGTAGCATTTTTTGTTGTACCAATCAATGGGACAACTATTGGCATTAAAAATATTTCTGGCTCAATTTACATTCCATATTTTCTTGCCAGTACCAGGGCAGAAGCAAAGATATCAGTAGTGATGTATGTGATGGGGCTTTTATGAGGTTCACAATTTACTGAGACCAGCAACTCATTTCAGATATCTTCGAACACTCATCAGATGGTGGTGTCTTTCAGTCACCATTGACCTGGAATGGATTTGAACCAACAATGTAGAGATGTAAGGTTCTGTCTTCAGCTATTGCTTCCTCCTGAAACGCATGGTTTTGTGGGTACAGCAGAAGACTGTATGTTATTCTGAGCACCAGTAGATACTTTCCTTTGTAAAAATGTCTATTTTAAAAATATAGCCTTTGCAAAAACTAATAATAAAGTACCTAAAGTGATTAGAGAATTGAAATGTCTTGACAAAAATGGGTTTAAAATACAACTATGAATTTTTCCCTGTTACAGAAGAAGAGCAAGAAACTTCGGGGGATTTTGGTAGTGGTGGATCAGTGATATTATTGGATGATTTGGAAGAGGATCATGAAGCAGCAAAAAAGAACAAGGAAGGAAAACAGAAGATCCATGTAAGAGCAGCCAATGATGATGACGAAGATGAAGGTGATGATAAGGATGATGAAATTGGCTATATATGGTAGTTCCCATAGCTCTGAGGACTCATGTTTTGCACAATATCACAAGTCATTTCATATCTCTGCAATGGTAACTGAAGCATCCGGCATCACCATCAGAGCTCAGTCTAAAGCTCAGTCTAAAGGCATTCCAATATGCACACAGATCTCTCTCACAGCTGGGCTTCCCATTCACTTTACTGCTGGGGATAACTCCACAAACACAATGGAGATGAGCATGCAGAGCTGATCCTGACATTGAAGTGAACTGGGAAGACCTTGCATTTTTGGGAGCTCCTTGCACATGTACAACGACCTTGCACACATGTGCCTTGGAGCTCATGTACACAGGAAACTTGCAGGATGGGAACAATCGTCTGTCTACCCTGCCCCCACCCCATTCAATTTGTACAGTGTGTTTAATTTGGAAGGCAGCTTCCCTGCTCAATTAACTACTGTTTGGAATAACTGTGAGCATTGTTCCCTTTTACCAGCATGGTGATGCATCTTGTTTAGTCAGATTTTCTTCGCTTATTTCAGTCATGCAGCACATGACATTTTTGTTCATGGAACACAGAACACAGCAGGGGAGTCAGTGCGTCAGAGCGACAGTTCCAGGTTCCTCTTATGTTGTCAATAATACTGAAGTTTTCAGCAACTGATTTTTTTTTGGCGCCATTTGTTATTACTGTGCTTTCTGATTTTAAGCAAGTGGTTCTTTTTTCTCCATCTGGTACTTGTTTAAAAAGATCAATTCATCTTAGTATTCTGGCTTGGTCACCCACAGACTTGAAGTCAGAAAGAATTCAGTTGTAGTTTCTCCTCACTTCCTCTGGCAAATGGTTGGCATAGTCTGGAATTCAGTGAAATTCCCCTCCTCCACCCCAAGACTAAAAAAGTGTAGGATAAGATCTTAGATGACCTTTTCTCTCGTTCATCAAACCAGTTCAGCTTAAGTTAATCAATATAGTCTTCATTTTGAGAAATCTCAATGGCACCCTCTGTCCCCTCCCACCTTTTAGTGAGGCAAACAGGACTTGGAACAGCCTTTCAAAGCATGCGAGGAAGAAACGCTTTGCAGACGCATTTCTTTATTTCTGTGCAGTTATTCTGCAGGCTTGCAGGTTTTGGATTTTGCTTTGATCCAGTTTGCACGAATGCTATGCCAGCTGCCTCTGGTTCCTGAATAGCCTACCATTGGATTTGCTGAAAATGCTTTTTCTTCATTTACTCTAACTGATTCCTCATTTGGAAGCACCGAAACTGTCAAAGGCACTAACCATCAAAAGTAATAAGCTGTCCCGTCTTTATTTTAAATTGTTAATATTTATTTGGTATTTTTTAAGAAAAACACAACAACCTTCAGCAAGTTGTGTCTGCAGTTAATATAACTTCTGGTACATAAAACATATGATACATTTATAAGGCAGAAGATGAACACGAATTATAAAGCAGAACGACAACAACAAGGCAGAAGAATGTGGTTAAAATGATTCCTTAAGCCTCTCCCACATCGTTATGTCTCCATAGAAGCATTCCGTTGTTCCTTGTTGCCATTCAGTGTGGAGAAATAAATATGCCATTGTAGAGCTTTTATTATGTTTGGTGTCCCTATAAGGACAAAGAGTCATGAACACATATGAGGATTTAGGAGAAAGAAAAGCATTTGTAACAAGGCCCATTTTTTTTCATTGAAGTAACCCCATACAGGCCATAAATTCTGCAAGTACTAAGGGCCATTCTCCATTTTCTCTATCAGGGCAATTATTGTGCTGTTATAGCAAAAATGAACATGGCCTGAACACTATAAAGAGGGCATATATTTCTGAGAAAGAGCTACTTCTTTTAGTGTGAATTTCTGTGCAGTGCAATGGTATCTATCTTGAGACCACTGTTTGATCTGTGTACTACTCTGCTCATTTGTGCTTTTTGCTTCTGGGGTTTTTGTACAGTGTACCGTGCAAGATCTGTGGATTAAAATGGACCCCTTCCAGTACTAATGCCAAATGTCATAAGGTTAACATTTCATTGTGCTTCTTTCCATTGGCGTCAATATTAACAGGGAGAGCAGCCTAAATTCATTGACCTCCTAGATATAGCCTTTAGCTGGAAAGGCTGAACACAGTAGAGTCAAATAGTTAAATGAGCAGTTTATACTCCAGTTTGCAAAAAGACCACTTTATGGGCTACAATCCAAGGATTTATGTGGCACATACTTTGAAACTCTTTAATGTCACTACGTGGATATGAATGGCTTGGGGCTGAGGCAATTGGCCTTCGTTACAAAGGTGGGAAGTGGCAGTTTATGCTACTATACTTTAAGTGCAAATTGAAGTCCAGTAGCACCTTCAAGACCAATAAGATTTCTGGGGCATATGTTTTTGAGAGTCAAAGCTCCTTTCATCAGTTATCTGACAAAGGGAACTATGGTCCCGTTCACACTCACCGATTTGGTCCGGGAGCAGGACAGTTTGGGGCCGGATCAAACCGGCGCGATCACACCACAACATCTGGGAAGCATCCGGCTTCCGTACCCAAACTGTCCCTTTCCCGGGATGAGCCGGCGCAAACTGAACCACCTATCTAGGTGGTTTAAAGGGAAGCGGCACGGCAACCGGGGCGTTTGATCGCCGCCGCTTCCCTGCGCCGGCTCAACCCCGGCCCGGATCCGAACTGCGCATGCCCGGACATGTGCAGTTCGGCCGGCTCCCGTTCGGGCCGTGTTTTCTCCCCGGCGTTTGATCGCGCCGGGGAGAAAAGGCGCCGTGGCCGGGGGATCCGGGGGATCCCGCCGCGGCGCCTCAACGTTGGCGCGGCTTTTAAAAGCCGCGCCTTCAAGCGCCTTTTCCCCTGCCGTGTGGCAGGGGCCTTCGACTCTCAAAAGCTGAAGGAATCACACGAGACAGCTCTCTTGAGGGTAGAGAAATCTGTCTGCCTTTCAACAGGAAAACAGATATTTTAGGGAGGACGTCTTAAGGATGCTTACATAGTACAATAATTAACGAGCTACGTTTCTTTAACATGCCCACAGGTACAGGATTGTGCAAAGGTCATGACTCTGGATTGATCAGAGTTCCTGATCAATCCAGATGTTTACAGAGTCTGGAAATATGGGTTAAAATCAGGATAGGTGTGCCTAATCGCTGACCCCTGCCCACATTAAGCTTATACCCTGGAAGTCTTGTTGGTCATTATAGTGCTGATGGACTCAAAACTGTGCTCTTCTGATGCAGTCTGACATGGCTAGCAACCTGATACTGTACTTTAAGTGGGGTCCAGTGCCTGGTGAATGAAGGCTCTGCCTTGATTGGTAGTCAACATCTATATCTTTTAGCAACAGGGGGACTATGCAGTTTTATGCTGGCCTGTACAGCTTCTGTAGGCCCAGAAGGATATAAGCTGCCATGGAAACTGAGCTGAAGGTGCTTTTTTTATTTCTTCATTTGCATGGTGTTACCAATGAGGAAAGTTGGGATATAACTGTTGTAATAAATTAAACAACCAAGTGGGGCCTGGGATTCTCCTAGAATTATACCTGCTCTCCAGACAACAGAGATTGTTCTCCTAGAGGAAGTGGCAGGTTCAGAGGGTTGACTGTATGGCATCACATCCCTGCTGAGTGCCCTTCCTTCCCCAATCTTTGCTTTTCCCAGGCACTGACCCCAAATCTCAAAGCCATCCCAGTAAAGTTACCTAACTACCCTTGAAACACAGTAATGGCAAGGGACAACTGCTGAGTCTGAAGTTGCTGCTTCATCAGCATTGGGACTGGCTCATATCTGAGCACCTTGCAATGATCCTGGTTTTGTTGCCTGGTATCCTACAAGATACCATGATTACAAGGGCAATTCACAGGGCAATTCATGAAAGCAAGTTACTTGAAATCAATGCAGTTGACTTCCAAATGAAAAATAAAAATGATGCTAGCCACTAATTGCCTGAAGTGTAAGGGTGTTGTGGATTGTGCTGTTAATCTCTGTTGGCATTTTGGCTGTGCTGCCATTGAAAGAATATCACTTAACTGCAATTAGTACCCAACATCAATCAAGGACTTCCAATTTCACCATAGTGGCTGCTTATTTACTTAATTTAATGAGACCTATAGCAGCCAAGTTCACTGTTGTTGTCATTTATGAGAAGTGCTATGATTTGCTAAATCCATTTTGGGTCTCCTTGTGCATACACCAGAGCTGCATTTAGGCCCTCAGATTATGAGGGGGCCTCTTGATACAAAAAAAATGGCCTAAATTACCTTTTCTTTTGGTAATGCTATGGGGCCTCTTAAGCATGACATATTTTAGGGCCTCAGGATGTCTTAATCCAGCCTTGGCACATACAGCAGCGTGGGAACAGCTTCCTCTGGTGCAATTGCTTGTTGCTGGAGCGTGTACATGTAAATTGCAACCTAGGTTTACCAGTTGCTCACTTGTGGCAGGAAATTCCCCACCTCAGTGCTCCATTCTCCATGCCTGGTTGACAGAGCAGCAGGATAAAAATTAGGGGGACTGATGCCACAGACACTGTGACGTCTGTGTTCACCTGGAAGCGACATCATGTCATCAGCTATGCTTCCCTCCCCAGGCACAGCTCCCTCAATGCTTCTGGAGTTTGTTAGCATCTGGCTGGCAGCCCTATTCCAACTGCATGGATTTGACCAATTGGACTGGTCTTTCCTATCTAACCAACACCCACTGTCCCTTAATCACAATAAGTACTGTTGAAATCAGTGAGGCTAAAATTACCTGTGATGACCATATCCCATTGATTTCAATATAAACATTTTTAACTTCCTGTGGAGTGGGGCCCTAATATTTATGAGAATAAAGATTTGTCTGTTGACATTCTAGGGTCTTTTCTGTTGTATTCATGGTGTATTTGATCTCTTTATTCACACACCAAAATCCCTTTAACTTCTAACTTTGTTTCTTTACCACTCTGCTCTACCTAGATGCTGTCTCCTTTGTGATAAAATCCCAATATTTCTTTTTGTTTGGGATGTGAATCTGTTGTGATGTCATGTTTTCATG